AATATGCATCACTCTTCAGATATGAATTGAGTGCTCTTGGCTACTGATTTGGCATTTGTATACATCAAAATAATACACTAGAAGATTCCCTTTCTCTGGTGTGTACCAATAGCCCAGGGGTAAAGTCTCTGACTGATGCCAAATCGGTTGTTTCAATCCCAGCTTGAAGCAATCACATGTCGAGCCACACTGATGTGGATGACATAATTTCTCACATAGCCTCCAAGTCACCTGGTATGGATGGGCTGCAAGCCGAGATTTTTAAGTACAGAGGAGAAAGTCTTTTGCATTGGCTTCATTCGTTGCTGCTAGATACCTGGAGTAATAACAGTGTTCCAGATGACTGGAAAGATGCTATCATGATTGTTTTGTACAAGTGTAAGGGGGACAGGGATGACTGCGAAAATTATCATGGCATATCGCTGTTGTCGGCAAGGTTCTTTGTGGAGCTAGATTGCTTGTTGCACCACATTGTTAATGGAGCTCTTCTGGAGGCACAGTCAGGCTTCAGGGCTGGACATGGCACTGTAGATATGATCTTCACAGACAGACAACTACAAGAAAAGTGTGTCAAGCAAAATATGAATCACTATCAGGTATTTGCTGACTTGACAAAAGGTGTTTGACACTGTAAACAGAAAGGCTTTGTGGAATATTTTAGGGAAGCTGGGATGTCCCGAAAAGTTTGTTTCCATTCTTTGCTTGTTTTATGATGATATGAAGGCATGGGCTAATGTTAATGGAAAGTTCTCTGAGCTGGTGACAGTTGAAAACGGAGTTAAGCAGGGTGATATTCCAGCTCCAACCCTATTTGCCCTGTTGTTTTTGAACAGGCCTTTAAGAACTGCAACCTTGGTATTTACGTTCGTTATCGTTCAACAGGAAGGTTGTTTAACATCAGGAGGTTTGATGCAAAGTCGAAGGTTCACTTGTCATTGATCGGGGATTTGCTATATGTTAATGTTTGCGATCTTGTGGCTCACTTGGGAGGAGATATGCAGCATCTCATGAATGCTTTTTCTAATGCATGCACTGCACTGGGATTGACTATTAGCTTGAAAAAGACAGTAGTCATGTACCAACCAGCTCTAGGGAAGCCATATCATGAACCAAGTATCTTTGTCTATAGTAAAAGGTTGAAGGCGGTTTGCACATTTGTGTATCTTGGGAGCACATTAAGCATGTTCTGTGATCTTGATGTGGAAATCTCTACTCGCATGCAAAAAGCTAGAAACGCATTTGGAAAACTGAATAAATTTCAGTGAGTACAAAATTAAAGGTCTATGAAGCGTGTGTGCTTACAGCACTCCTTTATGCCTCCAAGACATGGGTATTCTACCATAGACAAATGAAAAGGCTTGAAAGATTCCACCAGTACTGCTTACAGCATATCCTTGGCATTACCTGGCAAATGTTTGTTAGTGCTAGAGAGGAGCAGCTGTGATAGTAATGAGCCCTTGATACTAAAACATCAACTTCAATGGGCAGGTCATCTTGTCAGAATGGATGACAGCTGTATTCCAAAACAACTGTTTTATGGTGAGCTGCGAACAGAGAAGAGAAATGCTGTCAAACCTAAGATGCATTTTAAGGACTGCATCAAGGATGTGCTGAGGAAATGCAACATTCCTTGTGAGGACTGGAAAGAACGTGCATCACATCGCAGTGTTTGGAATGTGGCTGCTAGTAGTGGAAGACATCACTTTGAAGATGAGAAGAGGATGCACGCAAAGCTTAAAAAGAGATGTGCGTAAAGGTGTCCCCATTGAGCTTCCTGAAGACACCTGCAGGCAGCTTGATCTAACATGTACAAATTGTGGTAGAGTGTATTTGTCAATGGCTGGTCTAAGGAGACACTTGAGAGCGCACAAGTGGAAGATGGCAATTGACTATAAAACTGTAGACGTCCAGCAACTGAAATGTGATATCTGTAGTAAGATATGCGAGTCCAGAACTGGTTTCATGCAACATTTTGAATTGCATCATAATGTACCACCCGCTGCTAGACCTCTTAATTTTCCTGTTTGTGCCAGAGTACATAGGTCCCTTGCTGGGCAAAAGAGCTACATTTGTTCAGCACATCAGTAGTTTTTCTCCAAAAAGATATGTAGTAATGACTGTACTCAGACACGAGTTGGTAACTACCATATTTATAAATAATACAAATAGGGATAATTCCAAGGAGGATATTAATCCAAAGAAAGCTCAATGGAAACTACAGTGTGTTATAATAACAACTCAAGAAAAAACCTTAAAGATCAATTTCAGTTATAATTTATTTGGTGAATATTTTTATATTCATCTCTTCAAACTGAATGTTCTTAAATGGAGACAATTCATCCAGACAGATATACTACATTAACAGGAAGGGAAAGCAAGAGAGAAGTGAAGAGTGAGGAAGAAAGAAAATTTAGAGATTTTTGAATATAAAAATATAAGAGAGAGAGAGGGAATGAGAGAGAAGAAAAGGAAGGGAAAAGGAAGATGGAAGAAATAAATGAAGTGATAGTAGTAAAAAAAAAAAAAAAAAAAAAAAAAATTAGAATGACCCGGCCAAGAATGTTTTTCTGATAGGGTTGAACAAATTTGTACATCAGGTGATGCAGTGTATGAACAGACTTGAAAGAGTTACTGCAAATTAACCGATAGAGCCTGTTATTTTAGGCAGTAATAATCATCACAAATTTAAATTAATTAGTCTAATAAAGATAACCCTAATAATAATATCCAACATAAATAAATTATTTAAAATAAAGGAAAGTAAAATAAAAAGATTATTTAAAATAAATAGATAAAAAAATAAGTAATTCAATATATAGATAAATATAGAAAACAAATTTAGAATATAGACATAGAAGGATAAACATAATTAAGATATACCTTTTAATAACAGTACTAAGAATATTAATTTAAAATTATAGATGATGTATACATTGGTAAGACAATCATATATCTAATCACATCTAAAAAAGCAAAAATGCACAATAAGCACACACATATATGTGTGTATATATATATATATATATATATATACACACACACACAAACACACATGCTAGTGCCCATATAAAAGAATCAACCTTTCAAATGTATATCCCCCAAAGATTTTAAGGAATTTTAAACTTGTTCTTATGTCTACTCTTGAAAATGAGTTCATTTCTTTGATTCAGTAACTGGTCAGCCCCTCTGTATTTGAGTATTGCAATATTTTCTTGTATGCACAAACTGCATTATGTCCCAGTTGTTGTTGGCAGTTTGAGACCAACAGATTATGTCCCATTTAATTAGTAGGGTTAAGCCTCTTTCTCTAATTCTCCAATAATGCTTAGATAGAGCAGGCATCTGGTGTTTTAAGGAAGCATTGAAAAAGGGATACCAGTGATTATATATATAATGATAAAATGGTACGTTTAGGCAGCAAGTATGTAACCAAAGAAGTTTTATTAAATTCAACTGACAAAGTCATTTTTTGTTTATCAGGATCTAAATTGTGGATAAAGTGTCCAAAGTTCATATTTGTTTTTTGAATTGATTCAAAACTTTCAACCCTATAAAATACCAAAGAAAAATTGCCTACCACACTGTCAGAACATAGTTCTTGATAACGACTGAGACAGTCAAAAGTACTTGAATAAAAAAAAACAGAGCATAAACTTTTGATAGTTTATTCACAATTTCCATTTTAGCAAATACTGGATTACCACTTTTCATTTATTTACCTAGATGCACATTCTATTTAGACATTTTTTCCATAAATAAATAAAAAAAATAGATACATAAATTATATTGTTTTCGGACGCTATTTTTCTTTATACAAGATTTTTTCAAAAGCAAATAATTACCTATTTTTTTTATTTTAATTATTTGGTGAATAATATTTTACATTTATAGAAAAAAAAAGCATGATCAAAATGTAGTTCATAATGAATGTAAGGGAGGTAATTCAGAATTTTGAACACGGAATTTCTCGTTTACCTCCCCCGATTTTATTTTAAAAGTTATGCTACTTTATTTTGTAACCTGCAAACGAAGAAAATAAAATAAATATTAACTAATATTATAATTCAGATATAAAGAAAACAGGATTTAATTCCTGGATTAACACTGTGCTAGTTATGATTTCATTACCAAACATCAATTAAATGTGGATAAATATTTTTTAAGCGCTTTAAAAGTAAGCCGTAGTTATTATCAACAACATAAAGAGTTTAAAAAGCTACTTAACCAGTCACGTTAAAGGCCCAAATTGGCTTAAACAGCAACAATTTACTAACATATAAAATATTATTTAATTCGTAAAAGGTAATGTTGAGTAAAAAAAAAAAAAAAATTAAAACACTATATCAAATTTACGATAAATGCTTAATTCATTTTGTTAGTTAACGAACGTGTTTTCTCATTCTGTCAATTTTTTTCATATTGTCACGAAGTCTTTAACACTGTTTTTAATTAAAAAAGACGAGATCTCCAATAATTTATCTGATTTTTTTTTTTCATTGAAATCGTACACAAAGTAAAAGTAAAGCCTTTTTTAATTTTTAAAAATTTCAACCTAAATTGGTTGGATTTTTTAAAAATTTTAATCAGCTATTTTAATAATTTTTGTCGTAAAAACTGGCTACTGTGTAAAACTAAAAATTATTATCACATTCAAAAATCAAAATTAATAAGAGTAAAACTAAAAATAAATATTGTTAGAGAAGTTGCTACCAACAAAGTATCAGACTTGCAATTAAAATTTTAAGGAGTTTCAGCTAATTTTTCCTGAAAAATAAAAATAGCGGAGATTTATGCTATTTTATAGCATTAAAAAACAAAGAAAGAAAGAACTTTATTATATTTTTTTATTCGAGATGAATGAACTATCGGAATAAAACTAAAAAAAAAAAAAAGATTTTACGGTTTAATCTTCCAGTCTCTAAAAACGACAGTCTTTTCTGAAAATAATAGTTCAATAACCATAATAGTCTTGTCTAAGTAGACGAAACTAAAGCTCTTACCACGGAAGATTTGATGTCTCTTTGCTTGTTGTTGTTGTGTCCATTTTTACAACGGCTTGATCCACGGAAGACATGGTGTCAGGTTTTTTTTTCCCGGCAAAAATCTGTTGCAAGTCTCGCCAGCGGCTGCGGCTGGTCGAACGAGATCTCGCGAGATCAGGCCAGTCAATATGGCGGATAGGATTTGTGAAGAGTTTTGTCAGTCTGCACTAAGGTGTTAATCACTTGTTTTTCCGGGGTTTTTTGCCGATGGAGATGAGTCATTTCGCACTGGTGAACTGAGACCCCAGAGAATACTGCTATGGCATGTTGAAGTGTAAATATCGAAAATGTCTTGCGATCCAGAAAAGGAGGGGTCTGTCGAACACGCTATCCAGACCTGTAGTACCGTTCAAAGTATGATAGATTTTACAGCCAAACACTTGTACGGTCTTCGTACCCAGTGTGCACCCAACGAACAAATCACTCAGAAGGAGATACGAGATACAGAGGTAAGTAAAAAACACTAAAAGGGTAACCGTGCTGATTATATACCCTGTTAACTTCGATATTTACTATCGTCCATCCCTGCGATATATGTTCTAGATGTTAGTACTAGAGAAAAACTAGTGAGTCGAGTTTGTGAGTGTAGAGCGCCAGTGTAGTATATCTCCCCCTCTTCTTTTCTTAACCAACAAGCCAGATCACCCTGATCCCACCCGTGTGTACTTTCTACAGACAATAATGAAATGTACTGCTGGCACAGTACCCGACCAAGAGAGAGCTATGGAGTCTTTTCTTGTCTTTGTGGTCTACACCCTTGTTGCTAAAACGTTTACCTGGGGTATATCCGTTTTCCTAGAAAGAAAAAACACACCGATTCACGATTTTAACACACATCATTTACCAAAGTCTTTTTATATGGGGACGTACCAACACAGATCAAGTACAAAACAAACATACTTTTATTTTTTTTTCTTTCTTTTAAATTTTATATGTAAATATACGCATCCGTGCGTATATGTACACTTGGAGTTTTGACAGATGTACGTTATGAAAGAGTACAATTGGATTTTAATATTCGTCAACACGCACTAAAGGAATTTTTGGTAAAATTGACCTACACATATATTTTAGATTTTATTTATGTTTTGAATATTTAAAATAAATCCAAAAAGCTTATCCGAAATTACTATTCGTAAAATAGGTTTTTGTTTTTGTCAGATTTTAGTTGTGGCTAAAAATTAAAAAAATTCAATACGTGTAAAAATATATATATATATATATATATATATATATAATATAATGTCTTTTTTTTTAATAAAAGATTATATAACCCAATAATTTTAAAAATCCAAACATTTTTTTTTTTACACATAAAAAGACGATTATTCCTTTCCTTTGTGTTTTATTTTTTTAATTTTCACTACTTTTTTTTAGATAACTTTTTATACAATGACTTAATTTTGAAAGTTTAGAGATGATTTAAAAAAAAATAGATTTTAAAGGTTAAGAGACTTTCTACAGTTTTTTTTATTATTTATATTCAAATTTATTTACATTTCTTTGTTTAAAAATAGTTGTTCGTAAATAGGTTATTTTTTTTAATTTTTCAGCTGTTTATAGGACAAGTAATTTTGTTCACATAGAGAGGGGAACTCCTTGACATAAAAATGTCTTTTTGAGAGGTCATCATAAAAATATAAACTAAATTCTCCTATATATCCTGTCGTCACTCTCATAGTAGAACTAGATGGTTCCCTACTAAACGGCGCACTAGAACAGTGACTTACACGATTCACGCTACAATCACATGCATATGAGTATGTATGTATGTATAGATCAGTCAACTCAACTCTTTTCTCACCTACAAATTATACAATCGTGTTAGTACGCCTTAGTGTGTTTAATAATATAAAACTGGATAATTTTGTCACTTCAAAAGATAAATAATGACTTTCTTTTGCGTGTCAACGTAATAAAAAAAAATCAGTGGCAAAAATACAAAAAATTTAAATTACTTCAAAAAGTAGCAAAAACAGGTTTCCTTTTAGTTTTTAATTTTTATCAATTTAAGTACCGAAATGAACTATTTTCTTCGGAGGGGAATTATTATTAATAAAGATTTAAAGAATAAAATAAAAAGCAATTTTAATAATAAATAAATTCCTTAGCAAACTATCCCAAAATGTACGAAAATAAATGTGTTTGTAAAGTTTTTTTTTTTTTAATTTTTTTCTCTTTTTTTATCTTCTGTTTGCGATTTATTTTTAAAAAATCAAAAATCAAAATTATTTCTTTTTTTTAAATTATTTCCTAACCTCTTTTGGCCAGCTTAAGACTTTTTTGTATGTGTGTTACAGTGTTTGTCCCTTTTTCACAAATGACGACTCGGGATATTTTTATATTTTTCCTTAAAACAAACACGGAATTAAATTCTTAATTTTTTGACTCTGCTAATTAAATTGTGAATCATCTGAATTTCTGTTGTTTTGTAATCCTGTTTTTTGTGTGATTTATTCCCTCATTATTATTTTTTAATCTCATTACGTGAACCCTTTGTGTTAGAGAAGTTAGTGCTTGTTAATCTGTTGAAAGTTCGGTTTTGTTGAAATCGCATTGGGTGGGGGGGGGCTGAGATCTCGATTCAAAATCTCCTCAGTCACACTAAAAACATTGGTTACTTGATCAGTCACGGCTTAGTGTTCTTATTTTATTTATATTGAATATTTCGTAAATACTAGGATTTAATCTACCGTTTAATTTCCATCGAGAAGATCCAGAAAGAAACCGTACTTAAAAGAACGTACGAGAAAGACAAAGTATTAAAAATGGGATGGAGGATGTTGTAATTGCTTTGTTTAATTAATTGGCTTCTCGTTATTATTCTTTTCTTAAACATTTTTATTTTATTTTAGGGTAACGACAAAGGTGACTGCTTATTTATTAGTAAAACGATTTTTCATAATGCTTCGTTGTTGTTGTTGTTAAGGCTTGAGAACTTGTGGGGTGTGATACTGCTAAGTGTGTAACCCACCCCCTCCCCGTAAAGGTAAATGGTGTGTAGGTAGGTCTAAGATTCGTGGTTTAAAAAAAATCCCGTTGGTGACAAATATGACATTGAAGAAAGAAGCTTCAATTATTGAATTTTTAACTTAAAAAAATGCACTTTTTTAAATTTTATTTTTATTTATTTTTTTCTTAATTGCTGACAATGTTCAGTCATAATTGGCCTGCTGTTTGTCAAACTCAAATGCTTGGCAAAGCACTTTAGAAATCTAATTTTCTATGTAGAATTTATTTTATAAAAATAAATAATAATCCTGTACTTTACAATACGATATTTTTAGTGCAATTGTAAATGTTTTGTTGACTAACATCTCAAATTTTACTCTAATGTGATTAAAAAGGATTTTAACATTCTAACATTTAATTACCTTGTCTTTATTCATAAGATCAAATTAGGAAGGTAAAAATTGTTCTATTTTGCTTGTATCCCCATCTTGTTTTTCTATGCAAATTTCTACAGGATTAAAACTTCTGAAACTACATGGCCACTTAGAAGTCAGGCACTTTGAAATTTATTTATTTTGAAAAATTATTTCAGGCAAAACTGTTAACGTGTTGAAATTAGTTTTTATATTTTATTTTTATTCATAAAAGCAAAGGATGCTTCTTATGAGTAAAATAAGAAATGGTTGACCTCTTTTTGCAGTTAGATTTTTAAGTGCATTGTTTGGAAAATAAACTGTTTAAATTTCTCGTACTATATTTGGCAAAGCTTTTCACTCCTGTATTAAAATGTGATAATTAGATTTAAATATTAAGCAAGTGAAATTAACAAGTTTTAAAAAGATTATTTCAATTGCTGTTTAAAAACCCACAGCAATACTGGAACGTCTCAATATAAAAAAAAATTTTCACAAAATTATATGTAAAGGTGTTTTAGAAATAGATTAAAGTTTAATACTTAGTCAGTGTAATAATTAAGCATTGACTGTTTCAGGCAAAATATAAATTTTAATCTTCAATTGCCAGTTCTTTCACTGTAACAAAAAGTAGATCTAAATCTCTATATAGTGTCTCTTAAGAACATGTGATCATGGCTCTCCACAGTTTCCTGTCTGTAGCTCTTAGTAAAGTTTGTCTTTTTGCTATTCCTATTAATCCCTGTTCTGCCAACCATTTAGACAAGCTTGGTAGGTAGATTATTTGCTGCTTTACTCTGTCCTTTTGGCTACTTTATGCCCTGTGAGTTTCAAATTTTTTTAAGCCAACTTCCCACATTATGTGCCTTAGAAATTTAAACTTTTTTTGATTGTAAGTGTCCTTTTTGTTTACATTTTTCCTAAAACTTTGTCATTGCTCACATGTTCAGTCTATGACATTCTCTTCTGTAAAACCGCATTTCCATTGCCTAAAGTTTCTTCATCTGTGATGAGATTGTGCTGTACTCACTGCTATGCAGGAGGACCAATATTGCATAATTCGGTACTCTTTTCTTTGTTTCTAACAAAATTTCCCTGTTTTTTTTTTTTTTTTGTTTTTTTTTGTCCTTAGATTTTGGAAGGAGGATGTGTGTGTGTGTGTGTGTGTGCATACACACACACACCTATATATATATATTTATATGTGTGTGTGTGTATTGTGAACATTGAAGGCAACACTTACAGGTGAGAGATTTTCATGCTAAACGCCATCATGTGGCCTGATGATAGCATTTAGCATGAAACAGTCTGTGCCTCTGAGTGTTGACTTGAATGTTCATTTTTATATTTACATATGCTCAATCTGATATTGAGCAATTTATCCCATAAATATAGCATACCTTAAAACTATATTTCTTCATATATATATATATATATATATATATATATATATATATATATATATATATATAATTGAGTGATGAGTTTGAACCAAACTCACATCAATACAACTAAATATAAATATGTTATCACTGATATTGAGCACTTTCCAATAAGTACCATGTAATATATATATATATATATATATATAATCAGTTCCTAAACTGCTTCAATGATCAGAGGGTGGAGCTAAGGGCAGAAGAAATAGACAATCTCCTACAAGATGA